TCTATCGAAATTAGCCGCATCAACCGCCGATTGGATTTAAAACGCCGCCTTGTAATTCTTCTTCTTTACATCCTTGTGAGCGGTTCTCTGTACGTCAGTTACATCTTCGCCAAGCCTAGGAACACCGTTAGTAACCACTTTTAGGGTTTCATGAAAGCCAAATAGATATTGCATTTTTTCTCAACCGAAGCCAATTTTTGCCATCAAGAGTTGGAAGGGAGTTTAGTAAATTTTCGTTACCATTCATCTTTGCAGCGATTGATAAAAAAACAACCCACGATCTCGGAAATATGATCTATGACGTGTGATTCTTGAAAAAACGATCAAGAATCTAACTGGAGATCAAGATACCAATTTGTTAGTGTGTGAGACACTTTTAGTAAGGAGAGAAAGATAGAGAATAAGGAAATAAGAATTGATATTATTGAATGAATAAATGATAAAACTGAATTACAAAGTGTCTATTTATATACACCCAAGTGACTTGACTACTAAGTAAAATAAAAAATTAAATAACAAACTCTAAACCCTAATTAACATTGGGCTTAGGTCACACAACTCAACTTGGATTATATCTAATATCTCAACAAAAACTTCATCTCGGTCTTCTACGATTGTTGTCCTTCCAAAACTACCTTCAAATTTTTTGAATGAACTCATCTCAATAGTTAATTTAGTTCGCAAGTCCTTACTATCATAAGCATACTTTTGAATGACATCCAAAGGCCTTGGGTTGTGGACTTGTTTTTTTTCATATCCTGCACTGAATCTACAAGATGGATTTAAGCAATAACCAACAACATAAAGATTTTTGTGAAGTTGTGCATCCCAACGATTATCCAAGATCTTCAAATAAGGCTATACTTTCAGCTTATTTCTTCTAAACCTTTTTTCAATCGACTATCTTGCTTTATACATAGCTCGATAGAGATATCCCATAGCCAATTTATCTTCACTATCAATAATACGCAACACATGTATAAGATGTTCTGTAATATTCACTATGTTAGCACATGTAGACCAAAAAGCTTGAGTCTAAGACTTATTCCACAAATTTCTTTGCCTTGACATCTTTGGAATAAGTTGCGGTTGTCCACTCTTTGGATGTTACCATGGTTCTTAATGCATCTTTATGAGACAAAATACTTTGTAATGCAATGACATTAGTAGCAAAGCGGGTTGGAGCAAGACGAAGTATTTCTCTTCCACCTGTATTTAGTCTCATCAAAACAATGCAAAATAATGGTTATATATGTATTTGGTAATTTTTGAAGCATGTGGCACTGCCCGACTTACTTCCTCTAAATTCCCTATGTCTTACAACATCAAATTAATATAGCATGCTACAAAAGGAGATCAATATAACTTAGGAAACTCCTTTTCCAACAACTTTCCAACAGCAATATAATTCGCGACATTATCTGTAGCGATTTGAACAACATTTTCTGGGCCAACATACAACACTACTTCCTTGAAAAGCTTAAACAACGTGTCTGTAGTTTTAGAAGCACCAGAGGCATAAACAGACTTTATGAAAATAGTTCCTTTAAGGCAATAAACTAAAAAGTTTATAAGAGTTCCCCTACAATGATCAATCCACCCATCTGCCATAAGAGTACAACCTGTGTCCTTCCAAATAGAACGATATTGCTCTATCTGTACCTTCACGTCATCAACCCACTTATTTAACAAATTACCATGAAGGGTATGCATAGTAGGAACTTTATATCCAACACCCACTCAACAGAGAGCATTAACTGCAGGTTGAAAATAAGGCAAATTTGCAGCATTGAAAGGAATATATGCATCAATTAACCATATTGCAATAGCAAGATCACACTTTTCTACCATTCTTTACTTTACATCACATTTTTTAAAGTGGGCTGAGCTCCTGGAGTTGTTCTGGATAAAAAAATAAGTATCAATGCGAGCGTCATTCTTTTTAGATGCACCCCTCCACAGTAAATGACTCGCTTTCAACCACATCTGAAGTTTTTCTTTTCTTGCTCCACTCATTAAAATGTCGTTTCATCTGAAAATAAGTTTCTGCAGGCACTGACTTACAAATTTCAACATTTCCTACTACTCCATCTAAGTGATGTTTTACCCTATGAATTCCACCTCCACCAAAAGCTTTGTGACAGTAGATACAAACAAGATATTTTCTATCAGACTTTTAGTACAATGTGCCCAAGCTATATCAATTTTTCCTCTAACATTATTTTGAACTAAAATATGTGCTGAAGAGGCTTCTTGTGATGGTGGTTGTGATGATGGTGTTTTCGAAGATATCATTTTCTTGTAAAACATGACAAATAATGCATTTAGGAAAAACATTTACTGTAATATAAATAGTTCTAAGTGAAAGCTTTGTGATAGTATATCTAAACATGTAATATGATTGTTAGAATGAAGCATGTCAATGATCAAATGAGGAATTAAGAACATTTAAATAATCTAATAGGCGAAGTTAAAACCAATATGGAATGACCATGCATTTCCAAAGAGGAGACAAGAAAACTCTGTTACAATTGTATGAGTTTGTACATGTCTACATGAATGAAGCCCTCACTAGGAAACCATTTAAGAACTTGGGTGGCAAAATGAAAGAGGGGTTTTTTTAATTCTAGATTAGCACAGTCAACAAAATAATTTATTTATATACACGTTAAGTATAGTTTACAAGAAGATAAATTAAAACTACCATAAAGTCCTAAGAAAAATAGAATCTGAGAATGCATCGAACCCATTGATACAAATACAATGAATTCTAATGATGTTAGGAAAGGGGCAACTAATTACACTGTATTTTGAACAAAACCATTTTTGTCTCTGTCAAAAATAAGGGTGGTGTATGAAGGTATCAAATATACGATATAACATTATGGAGAACTCCTCAAATATTCACACACAAGATTCAATGATAGAACAACAAGAAAAGGGATCATGAACTGGCTAAATACTACAATTAAATGCTAAGACTGTGGTACATAAGACTATGAGATATAAATAGAAAATCACAGTTCATTATTTCATTATGTAATGTCATAGTTTGAAGAAAACACACTAAAAACACAGTTCATTACTTCGTTATATCACAACATGCTACATTCAATTGCAATTTCAAATTAATTAAAACCCTAATCTTTAACACATATCAGAATCAAACAATGAAAGAACATATAACATGAAAACGGCGCCAGAACTAGAATCGGAATAACGCGATGGTGGTTTGGGATGAAATGGTGCGGTGGTGGGGGACGAAATGGCGCGGTGGTGGTTTGGACTTCTCACTTCAAGTTTAATTCAACCTTGTGTTTTCTGCTTCTTCTGCGTACTTGGAAACAACAATTTTCATTTTAGTTTTTTTTTCTTTTCTAAAACTCAAAATGACAGTCATTTTGATTTAAAGTTTAAAAAAAATGCTTCGCAACTGCCAGTTCTCCGATTTTATGTGGTCCAATCCAATTTTTACCGTTTTTCACTGGTCTGACGACGAAGACAATCCAGCTAGTGAGCTAGACTGGTTACTGACCCAAGTCCTGGTTCAACCGGCCGGTCCAGTCCGATTTTTACAACCATACTTTATGTTCTAAAATCACATCCAAATGGTCATATAATGCTATAGTTTGTGTTAGTACATAAACTTTTTTAATGCAAGATTTAGATGATAAGGAATTGACTTATTATTAAAAGATTGAGAGTTTAACTTTTGCGACCAACTGATGTAAAGATATTTTAAATAAATAATATATAAGCGCATTACGAGTTTTGAGATCTGAATTGATTTTTGATGAATTTCAAAGCTCAACTCTATATAATGGATTAAATTTTCAACTTAACCTCATTTTGTTGGACGAAGAGGGTGACATCCTGATCTAAGATTTCTTGGTATTTAAAAAAGACCATTATAACTAATATCAGTCGCTCAATTATAAATTGGCGGTTGAGATCTTTTTATTTCATAAAACTGAATTCAAAATTTGAATCGTTCCATCATAAATCGGCAGTTGAGATCTTTTTACTACATAAAATTGAATATCTTTAATCGTTCGTTCATAAATTGGAAGTTGAGATCTTTTCACTCCATAAAATTGAATTTAAAATCTGAACCGTTCGCAGGGCCGACCCAACGTGTTTTGAGGTCTAAAGCGGAATTCAATTTAAAATATTTTCACAAATAATATTTAATTAAAAATAAACTTTTTAAATAAATATATTTTTTAACTTTTTTATAATTAATGTTAATTTTGATGTGCATAGAGAATTTTAAAACAACGCCATTGGTTATTAAACTGAAAATATTTTTAGAATGGTAAAATTGAGATATTTTAAAAATTAATATTTACTTAAAAATTAAATAAATTTTTTAAAATAATAATTTTTATAACTTTTTTATACCATCAACAACTAAAAATTTAAAACCGTGCTATTAATTATTGAACTGTAAATATATTTTAGCTTTAAAATTGTAAAACTAAGATGGTAAAAATTGAACACAAGTACTATACCAAAGAGAAATAAAGCTTTATCCTTTAACATATTTTATTTGTTGTAATTTATTTTAAAAATATATTAATTATATGTAATTTAATTTGATGCCTATTTATTTTAAACATTTGAAGTCTATTTTAAAATTAAAAAAATGAGACCTAAAGCTGTTACCTTACTAGCCTTAGACATGGGCCGGCCCTGACCGTTGGATCTGAAATCATCTGCAGAGACCATTACAACTTAAAAATGCAGATAATTCCTAAAACAGAAAATCAGGGTCAGTGGCATGCTATCGTGGATCCATACAACCATCCTAGAACCTCTTTTCTTCCAGCCTAATTAATAAAATGTCAACCGTTGATATAAAGTACAAAATGAATCTAGCGGCCAAAATTTCATATGAAATGAACTGGACTCTAGACACCCACATGTACACAAATCAAAACAAACCATTACATGAGTGATGCCTTTCTGAGTAAACCAAACCAAACCTTTTAACTCATCACATGGTTATGGCCTTATCTTCTACTTCTTCTCTCTTTCTCAGCACCACTGATTATTCACCTCACAAACCCCTCCATTCACCATCATCATCATCAACATCTTCTTCTCACTTTCCAGTCAAACCTCTCATCCACCACACTCACACCCTTCCCATCTCTCTAAAATGGAGAACAAATGTTTCATTCTTTACTTCTTTCTTAAAGAAACCCAAAGACGCAAGCACCATTAAGGAAGAGCTTCTTGAAGCCATTGCTTCGCTTGATCGAGGAGCTGATGCCACTCCTGAAGACCAACTAAGGGTTGATCAGGTGTGTTGTCTTCAAATTCTTTGGTTTCTGCATCTTTTCAACTTTACGCATGCATTTTTATTCTTGATTCATGGAATTTACTTCTAAATAGATTGCACGCAAACTCGAAGCAGTTAATCCAACAAAGCAACCACTCAAATCTAGTTTACTTGATGGAAAATGGGAGCTTATGTATACTACCTCTCAGTCAATCTTGCAAATCAAGGTAAATCATTTCTTTTTCTTTACCATATGTAGTATAGGGAAACAGTTTAATTAAGCGCTTATAGCATAAGCACTTATCCTACTAGTGTTTATAGGTAAGTTATTTTGTTTTGATATAAACTATAAGTTGTTTCTATAAATTACATTAATCCGTTCATGAGTGCTTATGTGATTAGATAACTCAAATAAGTCAATCCTAACAGAATCTTAGGTTATGGTTATATCAAACACATTTTGAAAGTGTTGTTTTTCTTTTATATGTTTGTCTCTTAGACAAATTGACAACGATGTTAACAGTTTCGTTGCCTTCATATTGTGTACTACTAACTAACATTTTCAATATTGTAATGCCAGCGACCAAAGTTTTTGAGATCAGTTACAAATTATCAAGCAATCAATGCGGATACTCTCCGAGCCCAAAACATGGAATCTCGACCATTCTTCAACCAGGTGAGACTAAGTGAAATTGAGATGAGTTCTCGCCCGTTTGTGTGTTCTTACTCTAATATTTACATACGCAAATGAATCAACATTGTGTAGGTGACAGCAGATTTAACACCTCTGAATACAAGGAAAGTGGCTGTGAAGTTCGATACCTTCAAAATTGCAGGCTTCGTGAGTATTCAGACTCTCAAAATTGAAGTTCTATTATGTAACGTGTATATAAGTGTTAGTACCATAATTACCTTGATCATCACTGTCGTCATCATCGTAAATTCATAATGTACGTTTGCAGATACCTGTCAAGGCTCCTGACACAGCTCGCGGCGAACTGGAAATAACATATTTGGATGAAGAACTTCGGTGAGTTCCATACTACATTTGGCGTAATATCAACACTAAATTGCTTTACTGTCATCATGTTCATGTGGCATAGATAGATATCACCAAGTACTTGTTATCATGCTTTTTGTTTATGATCTCACAGGGTATCAAGAGGGGACAAAGGAAACTTGTTCATCTTGAAAATGGTGGATCCATCTTATCGGATTCCTGCATGATGTGTCGTCACTATAGCAATTTATCGCTATCGCGTTTTCTTCCTCTCAACGGATTCAAATTACTATCAGAGCTTTCTGAAGTTGGAACTTATACTAGCAACTCAAGCTTAACTTGAAGCATTTTGGAACTGTGCTTTCTGTACAGAAGTGAAGTGGTTGTAAAATCTTTACATACTGATAGTTTTGGTGCAAATTGCTTCTTTCAAATCTCAGCGGAATTCGATAGTTCTTCATTATGTAAGAGTTCTTTTGAAGTAATTTTCAACTTAAATAAGTAATTTTTAATCAGTTTTTAAAGTTGAAAGTAAAGAAAGTAAAAGTTTTGAAACTCTTATTGTTAATGCTTCTTAACAAGAAGTCATTTGTGTAATGCATAAGCTTTTTGCGTTTGTGGTTTAGTTTTTTATAAGCCACTTTGTTTTGTCTATTCCTTGTGCATTTGCATAAATTCTGGACGCTTTGCATATGGAAAGTTCAACAATAAAAATATATATGGTCTTGATAAAGTGCGGGAAATCTCACCTTATAAATTGATTTTGTAGGGGTTAATTAGACCTAAACTCTAATTGGTCATTTTATGTCATCTAATACTTTTGAATTCCTAATTTTAGAGGTTTCAGCATAAATTATAGACTGCATCGACACACACACACACACAGACACACACACACACACACACATATATATATATATATATATATATATATATATATATATATATATATATATATATATATATAGAGAGAGAGAGAGAGAGAGAGAGAGAGAGACACACACACACACACACATGTATATATATATGTATGTATGTATATATATTATAAACATGTATATGTATGTATACGAATGATAACATGGAACAACATGAATTTTCAGAGGATGAGTTTCTCAATGAAGAAGCTAAACAGTTTTATGACAAGTTGATATCTTTCAACAAGCTCATCTATGAGGGAGCTACCCAGTCTATCTTATCAATATCTACTCAACTTCTTGAAATTAGGTCTAACTGGCATGTTCCACAAAAAGGTTTAGATTTTGTTGCACAAATACTTAAAAGTGTATGTCCAGTTCAAAAGTGTTTGCGTGAGAATTATTACTAAGCATCACAGTTGGTGTCTAAGTTAAGGCTAAAGGTTAAGGAGATTGATTGTTGTAAGAATGGTTGTATGTTATACTACAAGGATGATAGCAAGTTGTCTGTGTGCAAATTTTGTAATGCTCATAGGTACATTCCTCGCAAGACTGGCATGGGAAAGTACAAAGATATCCTAGTGAAGAGGATGTTTTATTTCCCAATCATTCCTAGATTACAAAGACTATATGCATCAACCGAGTCGGCAGCTGAAATGACATGGCAACACATGAACACAAATAGTTCCAACATCCTTTGACATCCGTCTGATGGAAAAGCATGGAAACATTTTGATTATGTATATCCTGACTTTGCTAGGGAACCCAGAAATGTAAGATTGGGTTTGTGTTCAAATGGGTTTAATCCTTACATTCAAGCGTCTGCTTCTCCATACTCGTGTTGGTCAATAATAGTTACTCCATACAATCTTCCTCCTGAAATGTGCATGACCAAACCATACTTGTTTCTCGCTTGTCTCATACCTGGACCTTACAATCCTGAATTGAAGATAGATGTCTACTTGCAACCATTGATTGATGATCTATGTCTATTATGATCCAATGAAGTTTTGATATATGATATATCCACAAAACAAAACTTCATCATGAAAGTCTGCTTGATGTGGACAATTAATGATTTTCCAGCCTATGGTATGTTATCTGGATGGGGAACACAAGGTAAGTTGGGATGCCCTCATTGTATGGAACACACAGATGCTTTTACCTTGAAAAGTGGCCATAAGAATTCCTGGTTTGACTGTCATCGTCGTTTCTTGCCAAATAATCACTCTTTTAGAAGGAGTAAAAGAAGTTTCATAAAAAGTAGGGTTGTGAAAGACGACCCACCTCCCATTTCCATAGTGCAAGATATATGGGCGGTAATAAGTAATTTTCCAAAAGTGACTGAAATTGGTTGGGAAGCCAAATGGAAAGAGTTCGAAGGGTATGGAATTAATTATAATTGGAAAAAGCGAAGTATTTTTTGGGATCTCCCATATTGGAAGGATAACTTGTTAAGGCACAACCTCAATGTGATGCACATAAAAAAATGTCTTTGATAATATATTTAACACTATCATTGTGAGATGTTGGATCGAACTCTAGTATGATCGAAGTCTGTTCACGAGTAATGTGTGTTGTAGTCGAAGTTTGTTCTAACATGCATTAGTCAATATTGCTAGGATTGTTAGCATATTGAATTGGGCCTTGCTTGTAAGCCCAATTGTTTAAGTTAACTTGTACCCTAAGTTAGCTTGTAATGGGTAATTATTAAAAAGCTCATTAGGTTAGTGTGTTATTTTTCTTATAAATAGGATACTAGTTTCTCAATCTTGTAATAAGGAAAAATAGGAAGATAAAATCCTAATTTCAAGAGAGAGAGGTTATTTTGTTATTCTTGTATACTTGTAATCTTGTTCTAAGAGAAATGAAAGAAAACCAGTTTAATAACCAATCCTTGTTGTTTTCTTCTTTATTAACCCTAACCCTTATGTGTTTCTTGATCATTAAGAAATTATTTATACTTAGTTTTAAAGTATCCGATTCACAACAAATTGGTGCGGTGAGTGTGGAGAAGATGCCTTCAACAAAGTATGAGATTGAAAAGTTCACCGGAGTAAACGACTTCGGTCTGTGGCGCTTGAAGATGAAAGCCCTATTGGTTCAGCAGGGTTGTTTGGAAGCGTTGAAGGGTGAGGCAGCCATGGACGCTGCATTAATGGCAAAAAAAAAGACGGACATGATCGAGAAAGCCTACAGCTTGGTGATAAGGTTCTTCGACAGGTATCAAAGGAGACTACAACATCGGGATTATGGGAGAAACTTGAAAGTTTGTACATGACCAAATCTCTGGTGAATCGACTCTACCTGAAGCAAGCTTTATATTCATTCAAGATGAGTGAAGAGAAAGTGTTGGCTGAGCAGTTGGATATGTTCAACAAGCTGATTCTTGATCTTGAAAATATTGATGTGAAAATCGATGATGAAGATCAAGCACTGTTGCTGTTGTGTGCTTTGCCCAAAACACATGCTCACTTCAAAGAAGCTCTCTTGTATGGAAGGGAGTCCTTGACCTTTGAATAAGTTCAATCAGCCTTGTATTCTAAGGACTTGAACGAACGAAAGGAGCATAAACCTTCGACAGTGGGCAAAGGTTTGGCCGTTAAGGGAAATTTCTTGCGAAAGGATGGTAAGTTCGACAAGAAGAAAGGTAAAAGTCAACAGAAGTCTTATAGTGGCAAAACATCTAGGATTCGATGTTATCACTGTAAGAAGGAGGTTCACATAAGAAAGGTGTGTCCTGAACGCCTGAAAGATCATGGAGGTAATGGCAATGCAACCATTGTTCAAGATGACTTCGACTCATCTAATGTTCTTGTGGTTTCAAGTGGCGACTCGAGAAAAGAGTGGATTATGGATTCAGGTTGCACTTGGCACATGAATCCAAACAGAGAATTGTTCGAGGAGCTATGTGATCAAGATGGTGGACCTGTGCTGCTGGGAAACAACAAATCTTGCAAAATTGCAGCTATTGGATCTGTGAGATTCAAGCTCCATGATGAGTCGATAAGGTTATTGACTGAAGTCAGGTACGTACCTGACTTGAAGAGAAATTTGATTTCTCTTGGTGAATTCGACAGAAAGGGATACGTTTTTCAAGGAGAGAAAAGTATCCTAAGAGTCATGAAGGGGTCGAAGGAAGTTTTGAGAGGCGTGAAGAAACAAGGCTTGTATACCCTTGAGGCTGAGGTTGTAAGTGGTTCGACAAATGTTGCATCCACGAAACCTATGTCGAAGACAAAATTATGGCACATGAGATTGGGCTATGTCAGCGAAAGAGGCCTGGTCGAATTGGGGAAGCAGAACCTGCTAGGAGGTGACAAAGTCGAAAAGTTGGAATTTTGTGAATCTTGTGTATTTGGTAAATCCTGTAGGGCGAAGTTTAACAAAGGCAAGCAAAGAACACATGGATCCCTGGATTATTCATGCTGATCTTTGGGGGCCTGCAAGGAATCCTTCACACTCAGGTGCAAGGTATTTTCTATCCATCGTTGATGACTATTCTAGAAAGCTATGGGTATTCATTCAGAAGGCGAAGGATGAAACTTTTGAGAATTTCAAAAGTTAGAAGATTCTGGTCGAAACTCAAACTGGCAAAAAGGCTAAGAGGTTGAGAACCAACAATGGCCTTGAATTCTACAACGAAGCATTCAACAGTTACTGTGTTGAGTTTGGGAATGCAAGGCATAAGACTGTAGCAAGTACTTCTCAACAAAATGACTTAGCTGAGAGATTTAATCAAACAATCCTTGAAAGAGTTAGATGCATGTTGGTTAGTGCTGGATTGAAGAAGGTGTTTTGGGTAGAAGCTGTTTCGATAGCAGCTTACCTGATAAATAGATGTCCCTCAACTGTCTTGGGAATGAAGACACCTGAAGAAGTTTGGTCGGGACATCCACCTAGTCTCGATAAACTGAGAGTATTTGGCTGCGTGGCCTATGCTCATATTAGGCAAGACAAGGTCGAACCTAGAGCTCTGAAATGCATGTTCATGGGATACCCTGAAGGAGTCAAAGCTTATAGGATATGGTGCCTAGAGCCAGGTCACAAGAGGTGTGTCATCAGTCGATATGTAGTTTTCAATGAAGTAGAGATGGCTTTCAAGAAAACTGATGATGCTGACGAAGAGCTGGAACAGGGAGAGATTCATGTTGAGGTGGAGCATGTTGATGTTGAATTGCTTACCCCAGATGAAGTCGAAGAAGACACAGAAGATGTTGTCGAAGATGAAGAGACTGATAATGACTACCTACTAGCAAGAGACAGGCCGATGTGAGTCATCAAGCCACCTCAGAGACTTGGGTATGCAG